TTTTAATCAGGTAGCTGGGAGAAGGACGCCATTCGGGGACCCATAGAAATAGCTCTAGGACTTGGCGCCGGCATTTTTTGGGGTCTAATTGTCGGGTACATCCCGCACAAATGCGAAGTACGTAAGAATAAAAATAAAAAAAGTACTATATTGAAACATTTCACACATACACAATCGCTTAGAGTTGCCTAGTTTTATATTGATAGACACTTATACTTCATTCAAAATGTATAATAGAGCAAAACTGCAGTATTGTTTGACAACGTAGCGAGTGTTTTACTTATTTACACTGCATAAAGTACCTATAGTAATTACTAGTTACCGATTATAGGGTCTAGGAGTTAGTGCCTTAAGATTTGTCAATGTTTATTTTTTTTTAAATTGTGTTAATCAATTTGTGTTTTGTTTTTATATTAAATACATTTTTACTTATGGTAAATTAATATTTTAATTTCAAAATGTAAGTGGTCAATGATGGTTAAATATGTGCATTGGAAGGAGGGGGGGCATGAAGTTATAAGGTTGAGAACCACATTTATAGATGATTTTTGTTTTAACGTCTCTATGTGAGTATGTGAGCAACTATGTGCGCGAACCTTGACACACACCATAGATGTAATTTCAGTTTTTAATTTTTGTGTTATATTTTTGAGGAACACAGTGTTATTCATGTGGATTGGATTTTTTTTATAGAAAAGTCTGAACCTGAAACGAGCGTACATATTAACGGCCGGCGGACTCTTTATGACGTTCGCGTCCAAGAAACTGATCGACTTCCCGGGTGCTGGTCCTCTGGCTATCATAACGGCGGCATTTGTGGCGGCAATTTGCTGGAAAAATAACGATTCGTTTAGCGTGAGTTAAACACCAAAATGTCTTAATTATTCACGGCCGTTACCTCTTATTATGGTTTATATATAGGCAATTTTAATGAAATTCTCAAAAAAAAAACATTTAAACTATATAGGTATAGTCTCAAAATTATTGAAATTCTGAAGAATGTAATTTGAAATTGTGCAATCATAAAATTTGTTTAAAATAGGTTCATGAGTACGCAAAACATAAAAAATTACCATTTAAATTGATTTTAAGGATAAAACACCCAACATGAAATGGATAAAGGACACATTACCAATATTTTAATTGATGTCATGCATGCAAATATACATATTTTTAAAACTGTACTTACTTATTTTCCTATATTTTTTTGTTTAAAATTAAAATTCGACCAATAGGAGTGTCAATCTCTAGAATATCTCTAGAAAATGTTAAAATATTTTCACATTTATTGATAAATAGAGGTTGTGGTCCAATCCTCTCAATATAATATTAATATAATGTAACTACGTAATATCTTTGTGATGTCTTTTCTTGGACAGGAAGAAGTCGAGAACAAGGCCAACAAGGTCTGGGACTTATTGGAACCTCTATTGTTCGCATCCATTGGTACTGAAATCAGATTGATGTACATTAGTATGGACTTGATCATCAATGCTTCCATCCTATTGGCCATAACATCATTGGTAAGTGTACGATTCTTTTTTAGTTTCTACTATCGACACAACCCAAACACAAACTCATCAATTGAGACGTGTCTAACGATATTTTTGCGTGTCCTTGTAGAAATGAATGATACCGTTTTCGAGTTAGCGATTAGCTCAAAAAATAAAATAATACTAGTAACTACATACAACTATAAAAATAATTAAGATTTAAGTAAAAAATAAATGTGTGTGTTTTATCTCTGTCGATCGGAATTGATGCATACCTACTGACTGTGATAAACACACAAGTATGTTTTATTAATACCATATAAAAATATTTTGAAATTAAGTAATACAAACTATACATTTTTTAATGTTTTATAGTCGTATTATATAAATATTTTATACATGCTATAATTAATATTATTGATGTAACTTACATTCAAATATTTGAAGAATTAATTATTTATTTGTAAGAAATGAACAAAAATAAATGCTTATTACCTATATACCTAGTAGGTAATTGAATTATTATTATTAGGTATTTAGTTGTACCTATCTTATATGTAAAATCCATGATCCGTATTGTTTGTGATGCTTTGTTTACTTACCATAACTACTAGGTTACTATAAAATTAACTACATCCCATCATATATGGCATATACTATGAACTTGTATTCTATTTTCGTAAAGATAGTAACTTATGACTCACCCCACAAGTATACATTTTTTGGTTGATATTATCTAAATATTATGTAATGAAAAACCCAGAGGGATAATTACTGAATGAAATTGGAAAGAAGGGATGTGAAGATCATTCAAGGAAAGAAAAGAAGAGTTTGAAAACTGTACCTACAAATGTTTGATAAGGAAGGGTTGAGAATTTGTGGGGGTTTGGGAAGGAAATTTTAAGAGAAAAATGCAATGAAATAATAATAATATACTATATGCTATATTATATTAACAAATTAATCATTCAACATAAAATATTTTGTATAATATCCGACTACGATTAATTCCAATAACAAGCTTCAATGATAATGAATGATAGAAAATAAAACTTAAAATAATCTAACAATTTACATATTTACATATCAAACATAATATTTTATAATTAGTTATTTTTGTTTGTATGTTTTCAGGTAAGAGTGCTTACATGTTTTTTTGTCTTGAGGAATACTAATTTTAATTTACGTGAGAAAATATTTGTCAATATTGCATGGCTACCAAAAGCAACAGTTCAAGTAAGAAACTATTTTGAAAAATTATACAAAGTGATCAATATAACATAAATCACTAATTATCTCAAAAATTATTAACATTTTTTTCGGAATTTGTTTTATAGATCATTAAAGAAAAAAGTAGATCTAAAATGTTACATTGTGATTTTTGTTTTTGTCACCCTTATTATAAGGTGTGAAATCACTAGGTACCTACTTTTAATTTTCAAATGGCAACCTATATTAAACATTTTATAAATAGATCAAATATTAATTTAAATCAATTTTGGTGTAGACATTTTTAATTTCCTTTAACCGATTGATGAGATATTCTACTTTTAAGTTTATGTATGGGAGAATGATGGAATATTATTAAAATACTGCCATAATTCAAAATTGATTTAAACTAATACTCAGTATATTTATAAAATTTCTATTGGAGTATTAAAAATAGGTGGTGATTTCACCCCTTAAAATAGAAGTGACAAAAAATGACCATAATTGTTCACCTACCAGAAAATTTATTGAATAATAATTTTCTATTTGTTTGGTGTGTTTTGAACAGGCAGCAATTGGACCGATAGCATTAGTTTATGCACGCAATAATCATGACGAAACCCAAATAGCATATGCATTTGATGTATTGGCAATCAGCGTATTAGCAATAGTGATTACTGCACCTATAGGTGCTATTTTCATGACATTACGAGGAGAATATCTATTGAGGCCAAGATATTGATTAATTATTTTTTTATTTATATATACCAAACAAAACTCATTACCAAACAGTGAAATTAATAATTGATCAGTATTTCACTTATTATATTATTAATGCTAGTCAAATTTTCATTGTTGTTACTCAAATACATAAAACTAGTTTCTTGGTTTTTTTTATTTTTTTAACAGGTTGTAACCTTGTTATTTTTGCATTTATTTATAAATCCTTAAATTATAATTTTTATGTATAATGCAAACAATAATTCATAAGGCAATTCCTAACATTCATTTATTTATTTCTATTCAGTTATACAGTATGCTTTACTCACAATATTTTTTTACCAACACATTTTATTATAATTATTATTAGTCATCTAATTTTAAAAAATACTTTGAATGAGAAGAACAATATAAATTACAAAATATAAAGAGTAAGTAAAAACTGATTTATAGTTATAATAGTAATAATTTTAAATAACACAATAACAAAAATATCATACTTTTAATACACATTGATAATATTATGCTGCAAAAATTGTTTGGTGTTCCTGACATTCAAAACATTAAATATAATCTTAATCTCAATAAAATATTTAGTCTTTACCATAAATAATTTGGTTTAAGACATTATCATTAAGTAGAATATTGAATATATTCTACAATATTTATAGAAATAATTGAGTCTTAATGGCTCAACAATTACAATATAAAACTATTTTTATTTATATAATGTATAGTACCGATATATTATGATTTGTGTATCAAGTCAATCAATAATACTCAAATTATCATTAATGCATTTGTTTTCCATCATAATATGTTTATTTATAACTGTTTGAATATCCATATGACCTCACAGATCTCTTTCCAATTAATAATAATCGCTGTATTATGAGATTCAGCTTATAATATTACAATATTCTTTATTTATATTACAAACTAAATAATATTTTTAAATCTATCATTTAGTTAATTATTAATTTTAGTGTTTAAAAAGAATACCAATATCATTAAGATATTAAAAATAATATTTTCAAATTATTGATTAAAATAATAAAACAGAAAAATATTTATAACTTCTTTTTTTAAAGGTTTTACCCATAAATTATAATAATTTGTATATTTTAATTGAATCATAATTATTTTTTAAAAACAAAAATATTTATATGACTATTATATAATTTAAATGCATTTTTTAATTGTACTTTTATTAGATCTACTTATTTATGAAGATGATCTTATAGTCTTCATTTATGCATTACATATTCTATATATTCTGTCTTAATTAAATATAAATTTTTGAATTGCATGAATTATCATTAAATATTTTTCTTCTACATATGTATGTTTAATATTTAAGCCTAAGATTATTTGTGTTCCTTGGAAGTAAAGTTTAAATTATAATTATTATTGTAAATAACACGACAAGTGTGAATAAATAAAAAATTCAAACATATATTTTATAGTATAACTTATATTTAAACATACAGTATCTTAATAATTTGTATGTACATAGAAAAAAAAAATTAAATAAACCAATTTTTTTTTCATTTATATTTTATATATATATGTATATAAATAAACCTAAAACTATTTTGATAATTAAAATCCATATTTAGCCTGTGTCTGTTTCCTCGTCAGTCTGTTCTCAGCCCACATGTTTTTGAGTTTCAACTCATTAGCTTTAGCCTAAACAAATGTATAAATTGTATTTAATAAATAAATCTGGAAGACTTATATTTTCATAATAATTACCTGTTGTGCCAAATATGTAATTTGGTGTTTACGTTTTGATTGTCCACCAGCATGGATTTCATCCTTGGCTTTTTTACCTTCTGCATACTCCTCAGAAATATTTTTGGACATCCATTGTTGTGACTCTTCCAACACTTGACTCATATTAACATTGATTACATCAACTTGTTTAATATGAGTCTTTTCACGATCACCAAGTTGTTTCAACTGTAATAATTAAAAAATAAAGAAGACACATCTATAATATAACTACAATATATAATATTATAAACACTAACAGCATTTGAGTCGAGAATAAGTGTAGTTTCATTGTCTTCATATAGGTCAGATTTAGTAGATTCAGGACAAAATACAGGTCCATAAACTTTGTCATCTTCAATTATTTTAATAGTTTCAGTTTTTATTAGAGGCACATCGAACCCATCAATAGGTGCTACATCAGGCATTTCATCTATTTTATTCAATCCTAAGAAATCGATATCATCTTTATCATCATCATCTACTTCTTCTAGTACTTCAACAGATTTAGGTTCAAAACATTTAATTTCTGTCGTTCTGGGTAAATCTTTAACATGTGATATTTTGCACATTGTTGCTCTAGGAATCATTGATAAAGTGGTAGAAACTTTGCCGGATTTTTTATTTTTAACATCTGGCAATATGGAAAATAAACCACATCCATTCTGAAACATTACAAACAATATCAAAATACACTGTAAAAAAAAAAATGACATACTTCACACGTGGATAAGCCACTGTTGTAGGTGAGAAGTTGGGAAGGTAGAGGGGAAATTTAATGTATATCTGTATGCAACGACTAATCATTGCTAATAAAATCAATTCTGAATGGAGTTTGGTTAATAGTATTGAGTTTGCCAAATTGAGACCTGAATTCAGGTAGTCCTATTTCATCCCAAATATAAGTATCCTGATAACATTCCAAAATACATTGATACACAAAATAGCATATAATCGTATAAATAAATAAACTGATAAATGTTTATATTATTTACATTATAATTGCTATTTAAACATACCATAGAAGTCAAATTATTACAAATAATATATAAATATACAATTTACAAGTGAGTCATAATGTATATTTATATTAAATTTGATATTTTTTTTAAAACTTTTTATAATGTTTTTTTTGTAAAATAATTGATCATCAGACATATATATATATATAGAATAATATAATTTGAAATAAGGAACATGAATTAAATTAGTAGCCCTAATACACTAAAATATGCAACCATGTTTCAAAATATGTCTATTAATACTTTTATTATTTATCACATTAATTATTATATTTTAATATTAGACATTCTGATGGACTGAATAAATGTCCTCGATTTCTCATATTTATAAATTCTTGAACTTCTACTTCAAGAAGAGTATGATCTGATAATCAACCATGTTCTAAAAAGTAATGAAATATTTATTTATTTATTATGAAGTATTTACCCTAATATGAATTTTTCATTGAGTATATATGTTACGGACAAACTAGAAAATCCGGGCATTGTGCACAATATCTGGAATCAAGTGTGTACATTTATATCAAATAAAATGTATACGTAATAATTACCTGTACCTATTTTTTTTGTTTGATATGACTCACAAAATACATATTTAATTTATGAACAAATATCTAATTTTTATTATTATTAATTTTAATATCCAAATCTATTTGGGCATTATATACAATGCCTGGACAATGTAAACTTATTTGAACTTTACACTCGAAAATTGGATCTGACCTAGGCACTATACACAATGCCCAACTTCTTACTTTGCCTATAATATATACAATATGCATAGATAAATGTATTTTTTTAATTTTTAGAACTTAATTTCCATATTAATGATCTCTAGTTTAAAATAATAAGTTTTAATATCATAAACCTATTTTGACTGTGTTTATATTTAATACCTATTTATTTTTTAAATACTAGCCAGTATAATAGACATGTACACTGATCTTCAAAAAAAAAAATAAAAATAATGAACACTGCAGTTTTTGTTATACATATTGTATGAACATGAATCAAATAATATTAAAGCTTCTCAGTAAATAAATATTACAGAATATTAATATAATAATTAGCATAGGAAATATCAGACCTCGAAAGGATGAAATTTCAAAAGCAGTTTTATCTCTTTTTGCTTATATATTTTATTATGTTTGGATAACTCAGAGTTACACTACGGCACAAAAAACTTAAGAGGATGCATACAGCATACTGGATAAGTAAAAATAAAACAAAAATAGTAAATTGTGTAGGCACCTATATGAATAACGACTGTAAAAAGTACACTATGATAATAAGACGTGAATACTGTTATTGTACACATAAATTAATAAGTATTTTCTATAAGTCATTCAAAAAGTGACTAAAACAGGTTTGACTAAACATATGAAAAGTAGAGGTACCAAATCAAGGAAATAATAAACTTACCATTACTTTAATTAATATTTAATATGACAATGGCTACAATATATTGTATGTACCTAATAAGTTCTATATAAATTGGCATACATATTAATTAATAACATATTTTATTAAGAAATATGTTATTGTTATACTTGTATTTAATTCAAAACTCTTATTTTAAGTTATGAAATCAAGAACTTCATTTCATGGGTAATCATAATTTATAGACCAGTGTGTATTTTTTATCTATAACACAAATAACAGCATGTCTATACCTATTCCACAAATTACTATTCCCCAAAGAAATGTGGATAGTTAACAATTGTATTGTATTTACACTATATATTCTATCCCAATAGGTACAAGTCTGAACACATTAAATGTGTAAATTTTATAATTTTATTTTATTTTTTTGTATTTTTTATTTCACTGACATTACAGTACTACACTACGTTACCACAGTGGTTATTATAAGTTATATAAGTTTGAAAGGAAAATACATTTTTAAAAATTTAAATATTTCATAATTGTTAACTGCAGTGATAGTGACAAGAATTGAAACCAAGGAATCCAAGGAAAAAACATTTTAACTACACATTTGTTTGACCCGGACAACTTCGGGCAGATCAGCTAATAATAATATAAAATAATATAATATTTTATAACACTTATAATAGTAATTATTACTAATAATAAATTGTATTAATATAACAAATATATGTAAACTGTACAGCATCAGTCCGAAAAAAAATAATTGTTTTGAGAGTAGAGGGCGTGCCTCCATTGCCCCTCCTGGCTACAGCACTATTTTGGATATTGTTGGTGCATTATGGGGAGGTCATTTTTTGATTAACCAAGCAGTTTTTCAATTTTATTTTTTTGTTATAATTTGGTTAAAAATAGGTACCTAATTATAGAAATCTGTAATTTTCACTGAATACTGTTGTTAACCTTTTCTAGAAGTGGAAAAATTTTCAAAACATTTTGACGTTTTTAATTTTAATTTGATTTTACATGAATAAAATTGTTTGGACTAATCAGGAATTCTTGAAAACTATATATGTAATTCATTATAAGTTGTATTGATGATGAAAATAAAAAGTTATTATAGATTCTGAAATAAACAAGAAATCTATTGGTTTTCATCTTTTTTACCAAAAATCTTGCTAAATTGATAATGATATTACAAAATTTAATGGAGTTGAATATAACAATAATACCTTTATTATATTAATAATATTATTTTTTTAAACTTTCTTTAACCCAGGATGACTCGCATATTTTATTGTACGCAATTGATTAGATTTTTTTATTTTTTAACAATATATTACTTTATATAATTTCATCAAGATATGAATTCCAAAATAAGTTTTTATATTTTAATCTTATCAATAATAATGGTATTATAGGTTTCATAATCATATAGATAAAGTATTGGTGATTAATTATCGTTCAATCAATAATAGTTATTCTTAAAATAAGTTATATGTTAAATTTTTTCTCATGGTGACAGCTATCGCAGGTTAATAGTTTAATACATACATATGGTGAAAAAAGGAATAAAAATTGACATTTTGTAAAAAAAGTAATTCATAGTATCTTTAGTTCAGCACTAGTAGTCCTATTATATGGCCAAACAAAAATGATAGAAAATGAAACTCAAAGTTCACAATAAATTGTAGTTAGTGATAAAAAAAAATGAGCGTAATGTAACAGTTTTATTTTATAAAAATTAAAATTGAAATTTTAATGCAAATAATAAAAATCAGGAGTTTTAAAATATGGTCTAATTTTGGTCTGAATGGTTTTTTGTTAAATACAGATATATTACTCTATATATCCTACCTTCACAACTTCCACTCTATTACAATGGACTACAATGAGCAGTTTCCTGTACAAGGAGCAATGTGATGCTGTACTGGTTTTTTTTTGTTTTGGAACTACTATAGGTAGGTCCAAGTTGTTATTTCTAAATATTGTTTAAACATATTTACTACTAAATTAAACTCACATTTGATGGTTTGATCATCTTTCGCTTTGGTTGATAATCATCATCATCGTCATAAAACTGTACAAGAAAAAAATCAGATAGATAAATATGTAACATATTTTTTTTTAATATTTACTTCATTTAAAGAAGGTATTATTATCTTGATTTTTCCACCGGTTTTGGGTTTTGGCAATGTGGGAAATAATGGGGGTTCTTGCAGTTTTTCTTGAATACTATCGCCCAATGCCTTTTTTAACGTAACCAAAGAGTTTTCATTTTCGACTGAATAACAATCGTCAGGCATTTTTGTGTTTGTGCTAGATTTAGGTTCGGGTAGCATTAAAAATGGTTTATTGAATTTTGTTTTGACGTCATCTTTGGTAGGCGGATTTTCAACATCATCAGTAATAGAATTGTCTTCGTCAGTTTCACAATCGCTATCTTCGTATGCTACTAAAGACATTCTGTCAAAACAAAACGAACGCGTTGTAATAATAGTAGTATAACTATAATATAGATTATTGTTTAGGGTAACAAATTTAAGGAAAAATTAGAAACTCACTTGGTTTTATATTAGAACTTTCACTTTTGTAGTTTAAAAGTTTTTGTAAAAATGTAAATAACAATATTATTGTTATCATTCATTAATTTTTAATCTGACAAAATAATACTGATAACATATGTGATAATGGTCACACTCATAGATGATAAAGCATTATTATAAAGATAAAGATTCATAATAATCACGACCACGAACGAAATTATATATATATATATATATATATATATATATATATATGGTGCTCAATCAAGAAGGGGCGGCTTAAAAATTGTAATACACCACAAACTATCGTGAAGGGTTTCCTCGTCCCAAAAAAAGCAACAATTATCATTTTTTTTTTTTTTTTTTTGTTATAATTCCTTTCCTTGACAATGAAACAAAATAGTTTATAAATATAAACTATAATTAATAATACAAATAGTACAAAAAAAAAGATGTGTGCATAATATTATATGTTACGGTCAAAAGCCGATATCGGGCAAATTTCAAAAATGTGAAGAATTGAAATTTATTAACGTTACAGTTTTGCCCAAATGATGTTGGTCACTACTATATAGGATTTATCCAGAAAAAAGCCAAAGTATGATGTTTTACCCATGTATCGTGGATATTTCGCTTTTCGCCTGGGCATTTCTAAGATTTGCACGATTTCGGCGTTTACCCATAACATAATATATATTATACATTCATATCGAACAACTAAACACGAAAATATTTACAAAAATTTTAAAGCAATATTAATCTTTTTTACTCCCACAAACAAATCTATGATGACAACGCGGTTTGGATATTTATATACCTATATTATGCATAGGTAATAGACAAAAAATTGCCCTAGTTATATCATTATCGCTACTTTTCGGTAAAGCTGATGAAAATACCCAAGAAATAATAAATAACACGGTTATAAAATACTATATTATTTTATTTCCTATAGCCTATATCTGTGATTGACAAATCACAGCCAACAAATCCAAGGAGGAGGCGATCCACTCATCATCCTCACCCCCTCTAATACGCCACTGTACAACCATATCCTTTTATCAGTTTTATACATTTTACTTTTTATTCTACTACAAATCAAATCAAATTGTTCAAGCAATATTTAGTTACCTACATTATATTATTCATAAATAACTATTATATATTATTATATTATGTATTTATATGTATTAATAAATATAAAATAAAATATCTTCATAGGTGTATTATTTTAAATGCACTTTTACAAAAAAATATATATAAACATATTATCCTTTAATGATTACGCAATATTTTGTTGCCTTTAACTGGCTAACCTGTAAATACGGTCACTAAGCCTCACTTTTCTTTGAATTTACCCCTCTATTCTCGATAGAAAACGAAGAGGCTGACATCTGGTGGTGGTGGTGACATGAAACGTTGTAACGGGGCTGACATGAGAACTCAATTATTGATGAAATACAAAATTGAAAATATTGAAAATTTGTTTAGCCGACTTGTCATAATTTATTAATCACACATCGTGTTTTAATTTTGATTACACTTTCGCATTTGTTAGCTACCTGCCCATAATTATGGATCATGCTTATTGTGACACAACACCAAAAACTTAAATATTGTCATGTTCCACAATGTAAGATATTAACTTACTTCTACTAAATTTACAAATTATATTCTTTGAGTGAACATGTTCAAAATATTTATTTTATTTTCATTAAACAGTCAATACCAAGAGGATGTAACTTTCCACACTTTTTCTAAAAATGTTATCCTAAAAAGAAATGGGAGCGTGCTTTAAAAATGAATATTACTAATTCTCCTAAAAATAATATTAATGTGTGCAGTAAACACATTTTATTAAAGATGATTTCAATTTACAACAAGTTATTATTATAATTTAGAATTAATGCTCAATAGAATACCTACCAACTGTTTAATTAACATGGAGTAACATGGATAGGTATTTTATTACGTAATGGGTGTGATTTTAACAATTCCATAGATTTCATAGAAACATAGGTTTTCCAATGAGATTATTAGTTTTAACCCTTTAGGGGCACACATTGTTTTTGAAATTTTTTTTTTGGAAAATATTAAAAGTTAGCAATTACATTACATATAAAAAAGAAATTAAAAATGTTTGGTTTCACTATAATACTACAATTTCTCAAAGGGTTAAGACACATAGCAACGATTCTTAATATTTTGTTATTATTTTCCACACATCCGAATTCAACAATGTGGTTACATTTCATTATTTGCGTACATTCAATCAATGGTCACTCAAAAGTCACAAATAAAACTTAAAATGTCAGTTAGCTCAACAACCGAAGTAAACAATTTTTTTTTCCAACATGAAATCTAATAAAATTCAATTATTCATAAAAAACAAATTAAATTAATAATTGGCAATGTGAAAATGTGAAATTGATTATTATCAGTTATCAGCATGGGCAGTGGCCCCCGGTTGGTAAAAGTAACAGCGCCCCCATATTTGATTTCTATCGCGAATATTACTTTATGGTATAGGTATTCAGATATGTACCTACATTAATAACGATATTAAGTTATAAATTTAATATTTTTATGAACCGGAACCCTAAAATTCTAATTTTAACATTAATTGTAGTGATAAGGATTACAAATATTTAAATTTTGAATCAATGTTTGTATTTCGGTGAAAAAATAACTTCAAGTTCAGAGAGATAATTTAATTCATGTCGATGATAAATCTAATAAATACATTTTAGTATAGGTTGAAACTCAAACTGATATTAATTTTTTAGTTTGTATGAGGTTTTATTTTTTGTTTTTTTGTCATTTTGAAGAGAACTCCTTTTGGCCCTTTTAATCGACTGATAAGCCAATTGTTTACACAAGGCAATCGCGGAAACTCAAAGGATCGTGTTATCACTATATCACATTATCACATTAGTATCACACAAGTTATAGGAAGGTTATCTTATCAAAAATATTACTGACGATAACGTTGTAATATATTGTAATTTATTAGTACTTGGCCCAAAAAGATGAATTTAAAATACATTGTGTTAACTTAAAAACTTAAAACCTTGTCTGGATGACAAATAGTTACGAGTAAAGATTAAATAAACGTTGTAAGTAACTAACATTAATAAATTAGTAACTGTGATCAAATTCTGTGTGTACATTTTGAATTAGAGGATTTTTCAGACTTTGATGTTAGTGTTCTCCGAACATGTTGGTTTCTCTGTCACTAATATGTTTAGCTACTACTATGTGATTAAGTTACGCTGTCACAAAATAAAGCTCTACCATATATTATAACTACCGTAGGTAGTTACATGATAGAGCAATTTCAATATCAAAAATTGATAAATTGATAAATAAGGTATATATATTGGGAAATACGATGTTATTTTCAGAATAGTAGTATTAAATTAATGACATACTAAAATAATATTTAAATTTCTATACTCGTCAATAATCGATTTTTTTATAAGATAACCTTCCTACGGTTTGTGTGATATTAATGTGGTATAGCGATAACACGATCCTTCAAGATGCCGTGTTTGCCTTCTTTATTTACACCGTATTAATCTACTTTGCATAATTGCATAACTTATAATAAAAATCAATGGATATTTTTATTGTAATTTCAAATGAATTCTCAAGGAAGTGGTTCGGTCAGATGGACCCTCTGGTTAGTTTATTCCTACCAGTTTCACTACTATGCTATATCCCCAAAACAATTAAGTTTATTTAAACAAATCGGTTTCATTTGGCGAGCGATTCAAGAAATTGTTTTTATTATTATTTTTTGATTCTGATTTTAAATACTTATAACTATTAACTATATCATTCATTATTGTTGTGTTTGTGATTTATTAATTTTTTTTTAATATTTATCATTTATACTGTATATATCTATAAAACCTATTTAGTACGCTTATTTCGTTAATTTTACTGGTCATTTCTCGAATTAACATTCCCGGTAAATATACTTATTACTTTGAAATTGATTTATTTAATACTTAGGTCATGAAATGCAGATTGTTGAAATTGTAATTATTTGAGAAAAGTATGTACTGGATATAAGGAGTGACCAAGCACATTAAGTATCCATCATGTTTAGTGCAAAATATGAATAGGTATTTCAAATATCACATGCACCTATATAATAGGTTGGTAGTATTTTTTTTTCAGTATTTTAAATATGAATACCACTGAAAAATCGAATAATACTACTACTACAACTAAGCTGAAAGAAACCGAAAAATCATATTCGCACAGACAACAAATGAGATTCAAGGATAGAACTGATAATACAGCCGAAAAATTTTCGTTGCGTGATAAAGAGGTACAAAAGTGTATTTTATTAACCTAAATTGTCCAATTTAAATGTAAATGACAAAAACTATTTTAATTTGTATCAATGTGAACAAGCTAATTTAGTGTAGGTACATATTAAGTATTCTTAAAATTAATATACTTTGTGATTTATTTTAATAGCCAAAACTTGTTCCCGAACCAGTCAAAAATACATGTGTTGGTAGAGGGATAGCAATTGAACAATTATTAGAATTTACGTTGCCACCAAACAATATTCTTCAACCAAGTCTGGTTTGTATTTTAAACTTGTATTACTAAATTTTGGTATTTTTTAAATGACAATTATTTATCAACAACATTTAAGGGACATTTTGTTATGTTTTTATCAACATGAGTATGATATAAAATATATCCAAAATATTATGTTTAAATATAAAATTGTAATTTAATATACTACTCTATATAATCTAATTCATATTATATTATTTTACTCTTAAGTCAGGTATAATTATCACAAAATGTATAAACATGTACTTATACTTAATTATTTTCTGTTTATAGGATTTTTCAAATTCAAGCATTGAACACCATTTCAAAAAACTTCAAGCAGAAAATATGAAAAGTCAGTAATGTTTAACACAAATATTATTATAGTTGATTTTTATAACAAAATACCTACTTTTATTTTAAATTCTGAGTACTTATAGCAAAGAAGCCAAAATTATAAGTTTGACTAAAATGTGTTTTTTTTTCTGGGGAAACACATTCTGGTTAGTAAAAATGTTCCAATTTTTCATAAAGTACCTAGGTACTTTATAGATCTAAAATTTGTATTTGATAGTTCTACTTTTTTTAAAAAATTTAGATTTTTAATAAAATTTAAAAACTGATAAAAAAATGTTGATATATCAGTTTCCATTTTGTTGATTACTCTAGGTCACCTTGGCTACAATGGAAAAAACACTCCTAAAAATATTTGACCCAGAATAGTATTTTAATTGTAATAGAAGGATTTTCCTTGTTAAAAAGGGAAAGTCTCCATTTAATGTTTTAACTTATTAAACTAAATTTACTTACACTACATACATGTTATATAAAGCTCTTAAAGAGGTAGTTTTAAAACCTATCTCCTATTTTTGTTATTTTAAATATGTTTTAAGTGTTTATTTTTTGTCTTTTTTATGTTTTGAATCATTTTTTTTATGCATTTTAAGAGAAATATAAATCCAGTCATTAGTAATGAAAAATCGTTTTTGTAATTTAGTATAAAAATAAGAAATTTTTTTAAAAATAAATAGGGCATGACTAAATTAACATGGTCAGGTGTATCCCTATTTTCATAGATCAAAATCAGGATGTCTTGTAAAAAATAAAAAGGTTAAGAACCACTGGTATAAATTATGTTCTGCTGTTCAGCCCTTTTTATTTATCATTAGGTATTATATGTTTGTATGAACATTGCAAAAAACATATAATATGGAATATATTATTACCTAAAATAATTGTCGTATGTATTACCTACATTATTTTTTATTTTTTTTTTCCAGCGGCCTTGGATGAAAAAGAGAAGTGGCAGAATATGTTTTCTTCAAAAAAAAGTTAAAATCAGAAAAATCAATTAATAGGTATAATTAATAACATAATAAATTGCAATTTAAACAATTTCATTAATCTAATCTATTTCTTAGTGAAATATTTTTAAATTATGAACATCCATTTAAAAAAAAAATATCATTTTGACAATAATTCAACTGATTAATAATATGCCAACATACTTTGCACTATAGGTGGGCCACTGTTGTAAATTGGTATTTGGAAAGGTAAAATTATTATATTAATTGAATTTATATCTGTTCAGGGTTTCAAAATAAAAAAAAAAAACAACATTTAAAAAAGTTTAAAACCCATTTTCAATTGTAAATAAATGTGTTTATTTCAAATATTTTTTGTAAATGAATTATGATAATAGTTAATTACAAATAAAATTTTGTCATAAGTATTTTTTGAACAAAATATTTGTTCAAAAAATGTTACTTCTTTATACAAAAGTAATAGAAACTATTTATTTATACTTATGTTTTAAGAATAAATAGGAATTCAACATAATATATCTTTATTCTTCAGAACATATTACTAGTTATTTTAATTACATTTTTGACCTTCTAAATCACTCCAAAAACTTTTATCTGTACTTAACAATCATTGCAAACAAAACATAGATTTAAATGAAGTTTGATTAAACATGTTTTAATAAATTGAAAATTTTCCTAATTTGTAATTTCAAAATAAATTATAATTTGTGTTTTTAACAAATTTTAACATAAATCTGAACTTGATACGTTAATAAAAAAACTGTTGATCTATATTATATAAAAACAAACAAATCAAAAATTACATAACACCCATAAAGTGAGAATATAGGTATTCAATGAAGGTTAAAGATTTACCTTTATTTTTAACTGAAAATATTCATAATAAAAATACAAAATTTAAAACAACCATGGATGGAAAACATTTTTTGATATCCACTGAACTAAAGACATTTTAGTATTGAGTTCAGTGTTGATATCATTTGTGAATAACAAAATAAACAAATTAAATAAAAAAACAAAAGCATTCACAAAAATAATAACTCAATTATACCATGGATGTTTATAGAGGACTGTGCACGAGAGCAGAATATTTGTCAAAATAGTATCTTGGCAGGACCTTCCTTATGTGCGAGCTCTCTTTATAGTCTATCTGTTTGATGTTTGATGATCAGTTTTTTTAAGTTTGGTCAAGTCATTGTTGGACACTCATATAATGGCACTAATGTAATATCTGGCAGACAAGATGTGTTCAAGCTAAAATTATTCTGTATCCATATCAACAAACATGCATTGTAGGCACCTATAGCTTATAAGTTAAATTTATTTAATTGAAATTGATATGCGTAAGAATGTTATAGGAAGACCTAACTTATTAAATTAATTATAATTAATTTGTAAAAATATGTACAATTTGTCAAGTATACAAAGCAAGTTTTTAATATGTTGGAGGCAACATGTTATGTATGACATATTATGTCCATTTCTCTGTGCCTTCTAACAACAAGGAATTTCAAGAAATGCAAAAGTATTTGAATATAAAACCATAACCATGTAATTATTTATGAAAATAAGTTATACGAAATGGATTTGTCACTACAAAAACTGCAAAGCAATGATAGACAGTTAATTATAATTAATTTGTTAATATTTTAAATCAAGAAGTTGAGGATAACAATGACATAGATGTTTCAAAAGCAATTGGTTTGTGAACACTTACCCATTAAATATATATGATACAATATACTTAATCAGATCTAGATTAAGAGATTAAACCAGATAGTCCAAAGAGCCCTTGTAAACTATTTATCACCTGTAACATAATTTTCCTAGATTTTTCTTTGGAAAAAAAATCAACTCTGTTACTAGAGTCTAATTTTTCCCCAGATTTTTTGATTTCAAAATGATAAGTGATTGAACAAAACAGGTTTGTCAAAAATTAAAATAGGTAAAGTAGTGTCGAGATTTTTGATAAATATAAACAGACGATGGTGTCAACATTAGGTATGTGTCTGTGTCACTTATGTAAATTGTTGACCACCATGGACCACTATTTAATTTCATTTTCTCGACCACTTATTTATTTATAATTTATACATATACATTAAAATAAGCAATAAGTACAGTAAACTAACCACTTAAGATGGTTCAAGGACCACCAGATCGAAATCACTGTTTTCTAACATGATTCTAATAAGGGTATTTAGAACTTGAATTTGTTAAGGTATTCTTTCATGCGTGCAACTAGGATAATTTATTATACCTACATCTAAATTTTACAAAATATGTTTTGAATATACTTAACTAATATTCTAAGTAATCAATTACAAAATAAAAATGGGACATTCTGTCCCTGCAGTACATAAAGGAATTTGGGATAATACAGTTAAATTTTCTGAAGAACATAATATAAAATTGGAAGTTCTCAATACTTAAGTCAGGCACATACACAAAATAAAAATGGGAGGGAGGGAGGATAAATTAAATTTATTCTGATAGGTCTTTGAAATTATCGCAGAATGGAATATACAACCCTATGGTGGTATTAAATAATTTTATATTCTGAGTGCAGTGAAGAATTTATTTATTTATATTTTTTTTTACCGTTTACATAAATTCTACTATAAATCTTGCTCAGATATATACGCTCAGCACCATTTATGAAAGGGAATTTTATCTAGATGATACGTTTAGTAGGTCATTTTTTGATTTTCTAAGCGGTTTTCATAATATCTGGGAAAAATCAGGATAAAACGTAAGAAAAATGGGACTTTTTTGAAAATAATGCTTATATTATTTTTCAATTTTGTTATTTTTTGTAATCCAGTTAAAAATATTCGTAGAGATATTTAAATTATATAATATTCGGGCGCCCGGCCCGAAACATGATCGATTGGAATCACTCATGTTATTATGTGTCGAACAGGAATCAACGGTCAATGTTAAAGCTTCTGAAGTTACAGAAAAATTTAAAAATATTGTGCCATTTCAAAGACGATTGTTATTATAATTAAAACCAATTGTTATGATAAATAAATTACATAATTTTAATCAAAATAAAATTATAACTAATGTTGTTTTAATGTATTAAACAATAAATCATTATAATTAATTCTTACGTATCGCATAATTTATTGTATACAGCCAATAAGTAAATAGTATACAATAATAGGTTAGGTATAGTATTGGTAAAATATTTTAACTTTTGAGTGTTTTATATACCGTCTTATGGAAGAAAATTGTATAAAGCGAGTGAATTTCTTTATAGTCTCCCCTCTATGTTACAAAAAGATTGCATAAAAGGCTGGGTACATTCAAATGTAAAACTCTAGGTCCACCTATGTCTCCGGGGCTTCAGGTTTGAAGCACCCATGGAACGAGTTCAACGAGTTAGTTTGTAAATACCAAAAATAATAACAAAAAATACGATCAAGAAGAATCGTACCATGACTTCTGTTGCTGACGATTTCACTTTTATGTGCAAATCGATGGGAATATCGTGGCGTTTTTGTTCAGGTACGAGCAATATTTCTGGTTTTGCTTGTTGTTGAGTCCTCTGAGAATCCATTTCACCGGGAATAAATTGCATTGCCGCAGGAACTGACGGTGACGTTGTATTGAATACTTGAACAAAAATATATTTCGTATCAATTACCTACTGTATTTTTCAGGAGTATTTCGTGCGTTATTTGTAGCAGAGCCCTACTTAGGAGGGGGCGGCTAAGGGAGCTGCAGTCCCGGCCTGCGACATAATGAGGGGCCCCCATAAGTATATCATAGGTAGGATAAATTCAATTAAAAACGTCAGAAGAATTTCTCTTCGCCAAGAAAAATTAAATTCACTTGTTCGATTGTCTGCGGAAAGGGACTTAACAAACTAGATTTTTTAAATTTAATTGCGAATTTTAGTGATATAAAGGCTAAAAAAAAAAACACTTGTTTAAATTAAAACCTGTTCATTTATTTATATTTATATTTTTAATTTTTAATTTTTATGATTGATATTTATCATTATAAAAATTATAATGCAGTGATACACGTTTTATTTATATCAGTCAATATTAAATAATTATTTATAGACATGGTATAATTTATTTCTATTTTTAAAAAATAAATTGAATATAAAAACTAATATAGCAAAAAAAACTGAATTTATAATTTAATTCAAGAGCACCATCAAAAAATTAGCCCCGGGTCCCGAAAATTCTTAAGTAGGGCTCTAGTCTGTAGGTTTGACATCGATGAAGTGACTCGTTTTTTTCATAATATTATAATAGTATTGTATATTCGCAGAGTAAGATGTACATGACTGGAAATGAGTACCAAAATCGCGGTTAGCAAGGGTAACAGTTTGACGTCCTTTTATATAATATATACGGTCGATTGAAAAATATGTTCGTAATGGTCGCCTACTGAATAACCGGATACTTATCGAAAACTACCGAATAATAATGTCATTATTGTTGAATATTAATTCTAATTAAATTGTCGTTATTTTAGCAGAAACGTTTAATTTTAGGAACTTATATTTAATTTCATTATTACAGAGCAAAATCCTAGTCTCATTTCAAAATAATTTTCGTATTATTATTACAAATGATATACCAGAGATATATAACTACGAGTATAGCGATAAAGATAATAGTTTCTTTTGTAGAAAATATTTGCACTTGCTATTGTACTGACTGTTGCCTTTTCGGTTTTTCGCAATATTAATTTTCCCATCTCATAATATTGAAAAATTACCTAACGACAAAACATTTTTCATCAGCCAAAATACCTACTGGTTTCAGAGAACTGCATGTTCTTAATCTTATTTTGGAATTCGTCCATTGTACGGGTAGCTATGTCGCGTCTTGCACGAGCAGCAATGAGGTCACCTTGTACTCCATCAGCAATTAATTGTTTATTGTTGTTCAACAAAAGGTCGACAAGTTCTTCTTTCGAACCGGTGTTTGGTATCATACGAAAATGTAGTTCTGTGCGGAGTTCATCGATATGTATGGTTTCTAATATGTTTTTATCGACGGAGTCAATTGAGGAACTCATGAGAGTTTATTTTAAAAAGAAGCCTATTTAAATTAAAAACCGCGCAAAATATCGTTTGGATCGTTTGCTTACTTGATTGAAAATGATTAACGAATGTACCATACCAAAAGTCGAAATAATTGTTTAACTTATCAAAAGTAGAAACATTGAAGGTGAATATTTTGACACTCACTAGTTTATTATATGAATTTCGGATGCCGAAGTGTTGACATAACTGTGACAAATTAGATAGGTTTGATCAAGTACGTCACGTTATCTTTCGGTATAAGCTTAAGTCGTAATTTTGTTTTACACTTATGATTAGTACCCAGTGTGCAATATGGTTGATTATACCATATTTTCATGTAATAAATACACAGTACATTAATTTTCATGACAATTTTTTGTTTGGTTTAATAAGCGTGGAATTAAATTGATTTAGATGGAGTATTTATGACCTAGCTTTTAATCATAAGTATGTAATATGAATCTACATATTCATTAGCATTATACTACAAGGATATTGAATTTATAGTAACTGCTAAATTAATAACTCTGAAAATAAAACCAAATATATAATAATAAAATATAACTTAAAACTTTTACTTAATAAATAATAAAAAAATGAACTTTTTTCAAAAATGAACTTGTATTTGGAATTATGGTTATAATCAAAATTAAATGATACATGGGGATAGGTATTTAGGATATCGACAACGGTATTCTACTAAAATTTCAGGAGGAAATTATGTCTGAGGCGAAAATGTCAGGAAGAAGTTATGTTTTTCGAGGAAACTATCTCCGGAGGCTACCCGAAAAAATATGTACATCATAGTAAAACCATAGAATAGATTAAAACTCATCCATATCATAGAATCTATAAAAATTAAGTTCTTTAATATAAAATGTTTAATATTTTTTAATAAATCGTTTATTTCTGAATTATTTTATTTTTGTTTAAAATGACTGTTTTAAATATACATGTTCTATGAAAATAGACGGATCGTTTACTTTTGAAAGAAGTTAAATTGTTTGATAGTTTATTATGTATTATGGTGTTCCAAAAATTGTGTTTATTTACGAATAGTGCTGTAATTCCCATTCATGAATAAATACAAAGTTTGCTGATCGAACATTTAATAATAGCGGCTGATATTTTCGATAGAATATTATTATATTAAATTATTAATCGTTGTTCTTATCATAATTTAAATATTTAATAATGATAATATAAACAAAAATTAATAAATTCTGATTTTCATATTAATAAAAAATAATCTCGTTTATGATTTAGTAAATTTATTTATGAAAAGGGTCAAAATCGTTAATTTTAAACTTAAACTGTTGGTTAAAAAAAATTGAAAAAATGGTATTTCCAAATTTAAATAAGTGTTGTGCATAAGAATTAAGAAATATGTTTTATAATTGTTTCAAGTATAACTGTAGTTCTTAAACAGCTATTTTTATTAAGCGATTTAAATATTATTAGGCAGTTTATTATTCTCATTATATATTGTATCATCAGATCATCTTCTGGAGTGCAATAAGAATGTCATTTGTCAACATTAAAATATATTATGGACCCATAAATTACGAATAAATGTATATTTTATTTTTTTGACTTCAGACAGTTTTTCTACATTTTTTTCTCGAGATATTTTTTCCCCGGACATACTTATTTTCTTTAGGACATTTTTACTTCGGATATTATATTTTAAATCTACAAAAAAAAAAACCCGAACATATAATAATGTTATTATTACCAAAAGTTATACATACTTACTAAATTCATAGATAGGTACTTATAATTAAAGAACGGATATTAGATATGACACACCTATATTTATTTCATTAAGACTTAAGAGTCCCATGTTTTTTTATTATATGAAAGTGATATCGCGACTGTTCAGCAGCATGCTCTGATGGAAGCGACGAATTTGGTCCCGTTTTTATTAACATAGACCGATGTTCTTACTTCAGTCCTAGTGTTTATTTACAGATCACTATGGTTTTAAACAATAGATAATTATCTAGAGGTAGTTCTACAGGTATTGGGTTAGCAAAAATTAAGGGCTGCTAGTAAACGTTAAAGTTACATAATATGTATTTGTTTGTTATATAGAGTTATAATAAAGGGCACGTCGCTAAACCAATTCTGAATTTACTACAAATTATACACCATTTATATTGAGCTATCAACAATTATGCACACTGTATTGAACGGTTGGTTGATCGTAAATTTCGGTAGTAAATTTGTCTCCTACTACAAATTAGGTGAAGTGAGGAATATTTGAGAGAGCGAGCGTATCAAAAAATTGGGATCATATTTATTTATTGGGCTATGTTAGCAGCGTGCAACTATAATATATTTACCAGGTGGCGGCATAGTACCACACAATAGAACTAACACGGTACCTGGAGTCACTGATAAAGGCAAAGAAAAATGATTCCCATTCCGTTTTATAGAAAAATTGTTGACTGGGAACAGTGACGAAACTAGAGGAGGTAGAGGGAGGAATTATCGCTGAATTAGTCAATTGAATTATTTTAAATTTTCAATCGAAAATTGAACGAATAGACAAAAACAAGTTTTTGTAAAAAATTAAATAGTTGTTTTTTAGTTTTAGTTTCAACTAAATAATTTTGTCTGCCCGATATAAAAAAATACTGCACATTTTATAGAGTGCAAGTATAAATAAGAAAGTTAAGTTGCCGAGCCACTTATTATTTGTTTATACTTGAAGTAAATAAATCACTAAGTAGATATATACATATATTGGCTGTTTACCTTTACACTAACCAACATTTTTTATTTAAGTATTTAAGTGTAATATATTTTATAGTTTGATTTTTTTTAAATGGGCTATTTGTATTTAAAATCTATTAATAATGAGTTAAATTGTATCGAAATGTACAGACCATAGATACAAGACAAGTATTTTAATTACGGAGCAAGACACCTATACATACAGGACTAATACCTATACTTATTAGCTCATATACTCTTTATACATTGAAATTTTAAATTAGTTGCCAAACGCAAAAGTGGCCTAAATATCTAAAATTGAGATAATGACCTAATGGTACGTTGTTGTTTAGAATTATACAAACTATGTAATGCATATGGTATTATTTTATTTTTAAATTTGTCAGTAGATAGAAGCACTAAAAGTGTTGTACTGCAGAACAATTTTTGTTATTTTCATAAAACACTAATTGGCCTATTTATACTAGTGTACTAGTAAAAAAGGCCGTTGGTAAAACTTGAAAAGGCAATATTTTGCCGTTGGAATTTAAGAATTTTTCCCGGCCTAGGTTTGTTTGTCCAAATTTTGCCTTTGCCAAGTTTTGCTGCCTTCCCGAATAGAATATATGGTTTAATAAGTTAGGCTACTTTTGCGATCAGCGCCTCAAATATTACATTACAACGGTAATCTTGATAGTTAAAATTATAATAATAAATATTAATTTAACGGCGACAGTTGTTCTTGGTTAGGGGAATCCTCGAACTCGGATTCATCGTATGAACATTGCGACGGTAATACGCTTGCGTTGCCCAAATATGTGCAATATTCTTGAGTCTGATTGTCGGCTGCCATTCCTCGGAGAAGTGCCCGGATCATCGGGAATGAATGGCACTGGCACTGTGCCTTGTGATCGTCGGATTCCATATAGTACAATTGAACGCCCCAGATTTCTAGGTCCCGCAAGTAATGACCCTGTTTGGGGCACGTGCGTTAAAATAATAATAATTAATCTGTCATCGGTTATCTTATGCATTTTTCGGTGGTATTTCGCGTAGTTTTTGCCGGTGTAACCGTGCAAATTTACCCTTCAGTAAAATTTAACCAGTAAATATAATTACCACTGTGACAAAAATATGAACTAGAAAATTATACCTCTTGGTAAACTATCAAGAGGTAAAATTTCACTAGTGAATATTGGCTCCCTCAACGGTAAAATATATCAATATTCACTAGCACATTGGTGTGATATGAAGGTGTAATACGAAGATCTGATACCTGAAATAACATTCGTTCTGTTCAATATTTTAAAGTTTTAAAGTTTCTGTAGGTAATAGTTTTTAGAGCCCTATGGTTCCGCTTATTTTTTATTATTTTTTTAAATTTTTTATAATTATAATTTGTTTTATAAACTCTAAGATAGCCATTTTATAAATATATTTTGAAACAAAATGTTGGTGTTACAAATATTTACTAATGATTAATCATTAAATATCTACAATTTTTCGAAGTTTACGAAAATCATTAATACATTTATTTTCATAGATCAATTAGTAAATGATTGATATTATTTAGTAGTGGCAATAAAAACGATTTAAATAAATTATCGTCAACAAATTTCAAAAAATTAACGACTCATAATTTGTAAATATTTTTAATACCAAAGTTTTGCGCATTTATTTTACTTTATGTTTAGCCATTTTTTTGTTTATCTAATTTGCTACCTAACATTACTTTGGTCTTCTTTTTTGTTTAACTTCATTCCGCATTTTTTTTTGCAAAATCATTTTCTTCTTCACAAATCGAAAGGCAATTTCATTTTTTCCACCTATTATAACTTTCACTTGCATTTCATATTATATTTCTTTTAGAATTTCTTCAATAATCAATATACATATTAAATAGAATAAGGGCTAAAATGTATCCTCGCCTCATTTATTCTCGCTACATCTTTTATTACATATAGTTGAAATCGAATCATTTGGTTTTCATATAGGCTTCATATGACTCTACGTTCATTGTATTCCAAGCGTTTTAAAAAATATCAACCATTATGCTTCAGTTTACATGATTAATAATATTATTATATGCAATTTGTTTCCTACAAATATTTAATATTCACGCAATATTGCGAAATCAAAGTATGAGTTAAGGCGTGTGAAAAGCAGAATAAATTATTATAATAATTGTTTTTTTTTTACATAACTATGAAATATTTTTCCATACATTTGTGGATAATTCGATGTGAAATTTTTTATTGAATTGGTTGTTCTTTTATATTATGTCACAACGCGCCTATAATAGTTATTATTAGGGAATAATACACGAGTATAAATATATAATAATATGTAAAACTAAAATGTGAATATTTTCTTATAATATAAAGGTAATATTTGAAATCTGATAATAAATCGATTAATAATAATATATTGTAACATTATATTGATACATTGCCATTTTTATATTATTATTATTATTGTAGATATATTATTATATCTACAAATAAGTGTATTCTGTAGTCTATCTAATACAGTAGTGTGGTTTTGGTAAGATTTATCGTTTTGGTACACAATTGCGAGACTACAATAATGCGATGAAGCCCAACAATTTTGTTCTAAAGTAGAAATGATATATTGGATATTTTGTTAAATATCAAAAAATACTTAGGTAGGTAGGTAATACTACAGGTAAGTCTTATATGAACCTAGATTTCCCCCGGAATTATTATAGTTTTATTTTAATACAATTTAAATCTTTATATACTCTGTGATTTATACGTCTATAATAGACAATACTATATTATGTGCAGCTTTTCGCAAATCTTTAATTTATTTAAAGTTTAGGCTATATTGATTTAGTTTAAGTGCAAGCAGGGCTCGTTAAAATACACGGACAAATAATCCACTTTCCCCTATTGAATTCTATATAGTATTCCGACGTACCTATATACTTGAAAGGGAGTGTGGGGGATTACGGGAAAATAATCGTTAAGCATACCTATCTCGAAAAGTTCGATCTAGTTTATATCTACGAGAAAACCCATATCGTCGGATTTCCAAAGCGTCTACTCGGGTAATACGATCTGGTGCAATATAATAAATTATAGTAAAGCACTATCCTCTGACACGAGTGTGATTTAGTATTCGTATATATGGAGGTAGAGAACTCAACTGGGACACACATTTTGATATAATTATTAATATTATTGTTTTCTTTGCATATAGGTCTCCTAGGATTCCCGAAATTTGGTGGGACGCTAGACGGTCTATATATACCGTATTTTGAATGATATTAAGTCTGAAGGTGATATTGCCCGACACATGTATGGTGGATAGCGAAAAAACAAAGAATAGGTCGATACTTTTATTCTTGAAACAAAAAAAAAATTCCTTGTTTTATACCGTCAGTCACATCGACGACCGCGAAGTGCACACGTGATGACATCCGTTAGGTATTGAAGTATGAAAATAAGGTCAACGTGACAAAAATAAATCAAATCCGAATTTCCGAAAATGGATGGCTCACATAGGTTTTTTTTTGGTATTTTTGGTACGGAAATTGTATTTAATTGTTGATTTATGGGGTGAAAAAAGATGAAAAAAAAACAATTACTTAGTTAATTTTCATGAAAAAACATGCAAGAAATTTTCATTAAAAATAAATAAATTATCGGGAAACAAAGGTTAACTGTGATAGGGATATGCGAGTGGAAACGGCGAGTCACGGATAAACACGGAAAAATTAAATATATATATATTATACATATTTGTTTTTGTTTTTTTAATACCGTGTATGAGCAAAGCTGTGCGAGACAGCTAGTTGTTAATATATAGTTGACTATAATTGTCAATACTCTATAATTTGTGTTTTTTTTTTTTTTTTAAATATCAAAAAACTACAGCCATTATTGACTGTTTTGCTCCCGAATGATTTCTGATTACATACGTATGGTGCAATATTCCAACCATATCACATTATTATACCTACCTTCGAATGGTACTCCTCGGGTCGTGCAGCACACCAATTATCAAAACTTACTCCATTCTTCTGGTGAATCGCACACATCTAAACAAACACATGTCATATAATTCATATACAATGCACATAACAATATATAAATTGTTCTAATTATTTTTTTTTTTTTTTTAAAACAAACATAATGTATAGGTAATAAAATACGAAAAGCAATGCTGCAGATGCGTGAACATGGAATTAAAACGTGACGTACGCAACGTGTAGTCGTGTACGTAATACTAGAACAATACAATATATATATTATTAATACGAGGATTATGTGTTCGGTAACGATTACGTTAAATAAAGTAATATTATTATGTGTGCGTTCGTTCAAACGCAGAGACAAAAGTATACACACAAATAAATTGAACAGGTTCAGGTTAGATGATCAACTAAATCTTCATATACTATTAGTAATATTGTAACAGTTCAAATTATTGAAGTGTAATTTTTTTAAATCAATATAAATTCAACAGTGGCGTATTGTATAAAAACAGACATATGTACATTTGTAAGGGGTGTCCAAAAAACATCCGAATCCGTTATTTTTGTATTAATATTATACCATAGGTTAAAATGGATTTTACCCGCAGGCCTATCTAGACCTCCATGGCTCGGGAGGTAATATTTAAATTTATAATTGTACATAAATTCTCCTATTCTTCAGACTATAATTATTAATGACATATTAACCTTAAATTGATTTACTTTTTTAGAAATGATTCAAAGCATTTGTTTTAAATTTTGAAATTGATACAATTACTCAATAGTCATATTATGTAATCTTGTGACGAGAAATTAATTTAATTACACTTTGGTTACCTAATAATGTTTATAGTTAATTTCGAATAAATACATATGAAATGTATCACTACAAAGTACAAGTTGTGTATGATGTGAAAAATAGACGAGACTAGATAGTTTGATTTGCCTCTAAATAAAATACTACTTACTAGTTATTACGTAGGTAGGTATTGATCGTAGGTACCCGGTTAAAATAATAATAGTTAAGTATGTTAATATTATAAAAGATCAATATTTTATTTTAAATCTATTATAAAATTATATTATTAATGGATTTTTTCTTTTTTAATGACAACTTGTCTTATAAATAATATGACAGATTGACAATAGAAATAGTAGTAGTAGTTTATTATTTCACATAATATCATACAGAGTTTTTAAATTAAATATAAATATAAAATAATTTGTTTCCAAAAGCAAAGCTTGAGTAGGAAACAAGAGTTCTCAAATAAGTTAGCTAATATAGACCAAGATTAAAAAATTAAATAAAAGTAATATACTAATATTAAAAGGTTTAGTTAGTATACAATAAGTAAGCTATTTAAATTTTATCCTTTTCTATAATATTAATTATAATGGAACAATTTGTACGCTCATTGAACATTGTATAAAGCTTTTCATGACCATAGCGCATGCGGCGACATTTACAAACAGCGCAAGCCGCGCTGCTCATTACATAGATCGCATGATACGAGACTAAAGCTTATCGTTTATCAACCCTTTTGCACATAAACACCCAACCTCGGGACGAGTTTATACTATTTAGTTTCGTGAATATCTATCGAACGAGAGGGGACCAACAGTCGGCGAGGAAATTCAAATATTAAATGTAAAACTAGTTTATACATAAAAAAAAATCTCAACGAAAATACCAAGATGATAAATAATCAGCCGATAGACTGAGAAAAAGGCATTATTTCGAATTATTCTCACGGGTCAAGAATGCGGTTTTACGTGCAGAATAATTCATCTTCTCGATGACATTATAAATATTATGCTCTTTGCGAGCGATATTGGAAATTGGTAAAGGCAAGTCCGGATTAAAGAGGGGTCCAGGGTGGGCCATGGCCTCTAGACTACCAGACTCCCAGGGCCTCAGTTTTTGTCATAGGATGGTTTTTATTTATTTATTTATTTCAATATGGGATTTACCCAATTACAAGTTTTAATATAAACAAAATATACATAACACATACAAGAACATTTAGTCCAATAGAGTTGATGGATCCTTATTTGCTATACTCTATTTAATGGTTGGTTTTTCAAATAATTGGTGGTGCATATAGGTAAAGAAAACAAATACACGTGACGGCCATGGAAGATTGGGACTTTAAAATTGATTTGTTTGAATAGTTCGGGAGAATCATTAACACCAACAATAAAGCGTCGCAGAAAAAAATAAATTAAGCTCAAGTCTTCTATTAGCAAAATTATTCATGCCAAGCCGATGTAAAAACATAAAATAGTCATGTGGTGGATGATTGATATTTAATTTATATGCTATAAAGTTAGGAAACCTACGTTGGACACGCTCAATTTGATTCTTACCACAAGAGGTATTAGGATTCCACACAATGACTCCATATTCCAAAATCGACCTAACGAAGGCACAATATAAAGACTTAATAGGAGTCATTAATTTAAATTCATTATACATTTTTTTTATAAAACCTAAAGTTTTCAAAGCTCTACAACAGATTTTATCCAAATGACCATAATTGCTACGTCGTATCTTATTTGATCGTGAGTTATTCACGATCAAATAAGATACTCAAATCAACAATCTCAATATCCGCAAATAACAATAAGTTATCATTAATCACATAAGATTAATCAATACGTTCACGAGTACGATAGAAAGATATCGAATGACATTTAGAGATATTGAGTTCCAACCTATGACCATTGGCCCATCTCACCAAAGAATTAAGATCGTCTTGGAAAAATAAGCAGTCACTCGTTGAATTAATTTTAAAAAACAACTTTAAGTCATCAGCAAAAAGAAGGAAATGACAGTTAACGATAGAACTATAAATATCATTAATAAACAGTGCAAATAACAAGGGGGAGAGATGTCCACCTCGAGGAACATCGGATAGTACATCAATAATACCAGATTTTACACCGTGCACATTAACAAATTGCTTACGGTTACGAAGATAAGAGCTAAATCATGACAAATGTGGTTCACCAGAACTAGAGCCAAATAGAATTATAGAATAAATGATGATCGACACGATCGAAAGCCTTGTTGAAGTCTGTGTAAATTACATCAACTTGTGAATGGCTAGCAAAAGCATCAAATATATAATTAGTAAAAACTAAATGGCTAGCGGTAGTTGAACGGCCAGAGCGGAAATTATGTTGTTCATCAATTAAAATCGAATTAACAGCTAGCTTTTGAATTGAGATTTATATGATTTATATACTATTTATTATTTTTATTTCGTTAAAACATGTTGATTAGTAAATATTTTTAAAGAACCAATAATCATTAATCTTTCAAAGAGAGCCTCGTTGAAAAATTTGGCCCCGGGGTCTCTAAATATCTTAATCCAGGCTTGGCTATAGAAATTATAAATCTGCTTACGTGGAGGTGCCCTTATTACTCCCAACTATTTAAAATCTACACATTGACCACAGAACAGTAAAGTTAATCGAAAAAAACATCCTGAATACTGACTTCCTGCCAACTACAATTAACACGCTGATACCGGCGCATACCGACTATAATCAACCTCCACTCATAGGGCAGTGAAGGTAAACGAAAAACCAATCTAAGCTGTAAATATATTACCTGGCCCCAACTAAGTTTAGAAATTATACCCATACATAAGGCATATATCAATTGTTCTTTTTATTTCGATTTAAACCAACTATAATATTAAACATATACAAATATATATTTTGTATTTATTTTTATTTTTATTAATATTGCATTTTCAGCATTATTTCACAGGTTAAAATTTTAATCTATGTATTCAGACGTAATAACTAAAGAAAACACTACGTCTTTACCATCATAATATGAAGACTGTTTTATTATGACGTAGCCATTTCTCTTATTTAACGGTTAAAAGAAAGTGAACGTTACAAAATACAATAGATAGAACTAAAATGCTTTAATACGTTATAGGTATACAAACCCCTGAATAAGTTTTTTAAAAATTCTACTGAAATATTATATGGATTTAGATTTTTATTTTTTACATCTGCTATAACACAACAATAGACCTTTTTTGAGGTATGCGATTTTTAACTCCAGGACACCCCTCCCATAAAAAAAAAAAAAAAAATACGCCACTGCAAACTATGTCGATGTAGTATCTACAAAGTAGAAAAAAATGTGTAAAACATATTAGGTATCTGGTATATAGGTACCGTACAATATAGTTTCGTCCCTGAATCTAAAATTAGGTAAATATTTATAGGAACATATAATATAATACAAACTCTTTCAATGAAATGTTGAATAATGGTATGTATTAGCATATAATATATTATGGATAGTGTTTCACGAGAATTCGCTATTTTCAAGTTAATGGTGTTTACATTACTCCCGTCACTAAAATGGTAAATATTCGTGAAACATACTACCTATATATTATAAATAAATGTTTATAGTGAAATATGAAAAATAAGCGTGTGGCCAAATGGCAGTACAAATCGACTAAATAAATTACAATTTAAAACGAAATATTATATACGTGTTAATAAAAAAAAAATAAAAAATCAGAACAGCATATTATTGTAATAAACAAAAATATACTCTACCGGATGTTATTTCAGTTTTTGATTATAAAAGAGAGGCAAAAATGTTAAGCTTTCCTATTTTTTCCTCCCTGGTTTTATTAATAGTATTTTATTGAATTATTATCATATCCACTTACTTGATAATAGCTCGAGGGTTTTAAATCACCCAATTTATTTGGATATAATTGTATACCAATCACGATTTTGCTCTTTTTTATATTGGTTTTCATTAGTTCCTTGATTGTCTCATCCTGCATACAAATAGGTATTTAGGTAGTACGAAATTACTTGTATTTTATGTCTTAGTTTAGGTACCTATTTTTAGTTTTAATCGAATGGTAAATAATATTTTTTAACTAGTTTAACATTCTTAAAGACTCATCCAATCTTAATTTTTCTCAAAACGAAAAATAAATACTATTTAAGTAATATAATAATATTGTGTATTATTATAATAATAATATTAATATAATATATATAAATTATGATCTTATTAAAACGTATATGGAAAAAAAACTTATGGATTAAACTCAAATTTTTTTTTTTAGACCAATGTGTACAACTGATAATTTACGCTGTGTTAAATATTCAAGCATATCTCTTTTTAATAGAAGATACCTAATAAATAAAAATGTATATAAAACACGAAAACATTAAATATCTATATATAACATTATAATCTAAAAATAGTAAGAATGTTTTGACAATTTTACCACGTCTACCAAAGACCAATATAATTTTGTTGAGAAAATTACAAGTCTCTACAATAATTTTTAACCGAATAACAACAATAGACCCATTTGCCGTAATTTCTATGGTTTTTCCTTGTGTTTTGTAGGAATGTGTTTTGTCATTAGGAAGACTCTACGGAAAATTACACAACCAATATCTTACTCAGAAACCAGATAAAATTTTGTTTCAGAAATTATGCCACTCTTGAAATTTGGACTAAGATTTCTGATAGAAAAACATAAGCCGTACATATTTTTAACAATGATATCGTTGCGCCGTAATTTAAAAAAACCTTTTTGGTTTTTAACAATTATTATGAAAATTACTTTAGATATCAAAAAATGACTCTCTTATCAGAAAATGACCACCCTAATGACTAATGACCCTAGCTATGCTCCGAATCTAAAATTGTGTGCAATAAAGAGAAAAATAGGTATAGAGAATTAAGATGATAAATAAAATATCGATATAACTAATATGTGAATTGGTAAACAAACATTTCTTTAATTTTATATGACATATAGGCACCACACTGATTAGTCTGTTCATGGAACAGACTAATGCATGACTTGAATTATATAAGATAACGTGTATTAAATGCGTTCAAGTTGCGGTGTTATTATAATAATATAATCATTTATTGGGAATATAATTATTATTAAGACATTAAAGGCTGAAATGTCAATGAAACTAAAAAATAAAGTATACTGATACATTGGATTATATACCTATACAACAAGGTATCATATTATGGCACAAATACATCAAACGCACACCTAAGTATTTATAATATTTCACATTATATTTATCGTAGTATTTTTAATCTATGTACGTATACTCAACTAGGTATGTAATTAGTAAAATATGCATACCAAGCTAACTGGTCCTAGTAACGGTGACGTGCCCCCTAAATTAGTTGTAGAGCATTTCAACATAGAAATCGTGTGAATTGAATACCAACTGACCAAATGGTTTAACTGCTTGAACGTCTTGAAACCTATAATTGTACACAGTATAATATTATAATGAATTGTTAAACACAACAATATCCCGAAATAAAGCGTAACTGTATGTAATATTATTCACTTTTTAGTAAAACACTGGTCTTATCAATTTTTAATTTCTGAAGGTCAACTCACATTTTCACTTGAACTCCGATATAAATCGTAGGTATACGTCCCATAAATTAGAAGTTAAAAACGTCAGTGTTCCGTTTGTTAGTTGTCGTGATGATTTTTTCAATATAATAGATGTATAATTTTAAATAGATATTTGGTAGACAGTAGATGGGTACCAATTTTTTTATCTATGTAGTGATGAATAATAAATCGTCTTAGTTTACTGCCCCTCCGGGAACACTCGCCTCACTTGTTATATGAGTGGCCTATTCATTTCTTAATTGTCTATGAGTACAGCGCATAGTTTTTTTTTGTTTTTCATCCATGTTATCAACTTTTTAAATTTGTTTTTATTTCCTCTATTAGTTAGGTAAGGTTACTAGTATTACTAAGAATATGAAGAAGACAAAAACTGTATACGATAAAATAATTGCCAAAGAAAAATGAATGTGTTGGTTTTAGATAGATACGAGATATATAGAGATAGGCACCTATTAATTATACACTAAAGGTAATCATTTTAACCATAAACTGAAACGATGTATATTTACTTGATACAATTGATTGGCTGTACGAGCTGATAGTTATGCCAATTTTCAATGTATGGTCCAAATCAGTAAACGCTATTGTGTAGAGTGCTTTTAAGAATTTTATTAATTTACAAAGCATATCCGTATCCAACTGGTCGTGTGCCTATAGCATTTTTACGAGACATATAGAAAATTATACGTCAATTTTAAATTCATACCATATTGTAATTTATTTAAAAAATTAATTCATATACCGTAGGTTGCAGATTTGACAATTGTATCCCATCAATATGATACTTCTTGACCCAGTCCATTATAAGTTGTGCTTGTATATCCATATTATCTAACGCTTGTGACCAAGCTTCGTAGCTTGGATGTTTAATTATAACAATGAGAGAAACATTTCCTTTTATTTTATGAAAATTTTCAAGTTCAGCTAAACAGATGAAAAAATAAGTTATCCAATTTCCGCGTTAAACTGGTTTCAAATTTGTACTAAAAATTTCTATAAAATACCATCTCTTTCGGGGTTTAAGACTATTTCACGATCGTGTATGATTATTGGTTCTCCAAAGACAACTGCTTGACATAGGTCTCCGACAAAATGTTTTCTCACTTTGCGGTACATTTTTTTCACATCACCCAAAAATGTACAAAATACGCGCATGTTTTCAACAAGTTCTGTGATTTTAAAAGGTACTAAAAAAATATAAATTTTATAAATTAATAAGATAGAAATAATTAAAACAGTTTGATTGATAAATTTGAAATAAAATACAAATCCAATATAAAATCTATGATCTATGTAGGTACTTCTAATATTGAAATTAAAAATGTCAACATTAAAATAATTGATTTCAACTAAAATCACCTATTTATGTAATTTTTTAAATATGTTGCTCTTTAAAACGCAAAATGTAGTAATAGTTTCACTCCTACATAAAAGAGTTAAAAAATATTGTCAATATTTTTTAAATATGTAATTTCAAACAGTTTTCAAATAGGTTATTTTTTGAAAAATAAGTATTTGATTATAACATATAATTTGGAAGATTAAGTTAAAATTAAATCGTATCATTTATATGAATTTGATATTTTCTCAAAATTTAAGAATAATCAGTTTTCAGTTTCTGTGACAGAATCTTTGCTTTACTAAATGATGGTTTTTTTTGTAATATGTCTTAAAAAATATCTGGGAAATAAAAAGGTTTTGAAGTTTGTTATTATAATGTTACACTTCCATATATACAGATTGAAAATTAATTATACATGTAGTTGGTATTTTTAAGTAATTTATATTTTACATTTTAGTTATTTTCAAAAACTATTGTAGAACTATTGAACAACTGAAAATTTGCAAAACCTATACGTAGTCTCCATATTCTAATTATTGTGTTTATATTTTATTTTGGTTTTAACGAATATAATGAATCTAACGAATATAATTTAGTAAGTGTTGTAAATATATTACACTAAATATGTATAAGTATTTACAATATTAGTATTATGAACGATCCAAAATTAGTTTATGAAAGTAGTTAATAAAAATATACCTATTATTTCTTTGTATAGTATTATGATCTTTGTTATACTTACGACCTTTATTATTCTTTTTCTTGAAAACTTGATTGTTAGAATTATTAATAGTTTGGCTGACGACTATTTCAGTTGTTGCAGTGTTATCATTCTGAATTGTATCTGTATTCTTCGCTGAGTTATTACTTCTATAGTTTTCATTTTGTCTGAATATCGGTTCGAGCGAATTTATTGAACTTCCAATGGTTCCCATTCCATTCTGTGAATTAATTAGTCTTATCTTTTCGAAATTTTTACGCTGTGAATTAATACTTTAAACATAACTTAGTACTTACTAAAGTCTGTTTATCTACTTTTTGTGGTTGAATATCAGATAGGCCCACTGATATTTTATCCAAGGAGTTTTCTGGTTGACTGGTACCACCATTGTTTTGATTCAAGGTTTGAACAGATTCGACAGCTTCTGTGGTTCCTAGTAATTTTTCCTCAGTATATGTACCTTGTATATTATTATTGTTATCAGATATTGCATTTCCTTGATTATCCTGCTCAGTAATTTCAGTATTCTGGAATTTTATTTTACCACCTTTTTGTCTTTTCTGTTTAGCTGTTTGTATATTTTTATACCTATTTGCACTTTTTTTTGGTCGTTTTTTTTTCTGTTTAACATTTTGATCAATTTTGTTATCATCAATTATTCTTAATTGATCTTCAGTGTAAGTAACTTGCATATTATTATTGTTTATAGAAGGTGCAATTCCTTGATCATCTTGTTCTCTATTATTTCCAGCAATATTTTGATCAGTATTCATATTTCTCTGTAATCGTTTTTTTCTATTTTCCCGTTGTCGATTACGTTTTTTTGCACGTTTACTTTGAAGATTGTTTGAATCAATACCAGGAGATTGTTCAATAATATTTTGTGATGGTTCGTTATTATAATTTTCTATTGATGCAGCATGCGAATTCGGTAGACCGACTGGAATTTTATTCAAAGAGTTTTGTTCTTGATCAGTGCCATCTTTATTCACGTCTCCTAGTAATTGTCCTCCAGTATTTTCTATATTATTGTTTGCAGACATTGGATTTTCTTTATTATCCATTTGAGTAGTAATTCCGGAAGTTTGAATAATTTCCATATCTTGGTTAGTTCCTAATTTTCCTTCAGTGGATTTAACTTGTACTTTATTACTGTTTTCAAGGATTTCGTTTAGTTGATAACCCTGTTGTAAATCAAGTTTCGTTCCACCTGTTATATCATTCCTCAATTTACTTTTTTTTCGTTTTTGTTGTTTTCTACGTTTTTTTGTTCGAAGACTAGGGACATTATTTTTGCCATAAGCAGCTGTTGGTATATTTAATTGTTGTCGATCGTTTGGTTCAGTGGACAAAGTTGACGCAGTTTTTGCCTCATTAGGTAAACTGTTCCAAGATGAATCTTCTTGATGAGTGATATCATGGTTCTGATTACTATTTGGAACAAATACATTACTGTCAGCTAATGCTAATTGCTCAACAGTTTTTTTATTGTGAGTTCCATTTTGATCTTCAGCTGGGTTTTCTTGTCCCGTTTGTTTATTATATCGATTCAACAAAGATTTAGGATATTTAGATAGTCTATTAAGAATACTATCAGGTTGAGGTTTATTTTGTAGATTGTCAATACTCGGATCAATATGGCTTACTACTTTATCATTTCCATCTGTTTTTTGTGTTCCTGTTGGATTATTGATATTTATCTGATTTTGAAAACCAGCACCGCTTACAGAGTTTATTTCTAACGGTTTATTCGTCGATTCATCAATAAGAGGAGGTTTATACATTTGTTGGGCTTCATTATGCTTTTGGTTTTCAAATGACTGATGTGGGTCATTTGTAATACCACTAGTGGAAGAATCACTCTTTATTCCAACTGGAATGTTATCACTATCTAGTTGTACAATTTTTTTATTATCGTCATTAGATTTTGAATAGGCCAATGAATTATCGATATTTGCATCATTTCCATTTAAGGGCGGCTCACCAGACACATCTATAGAGGTGGTTTGTAACTGCGTGTCCATAGATCCATCAGTATTGAGTGGTTTAGGTACTTGTTGGGCTTGATTATTATTCTCTTGGGTTTTATCTGACTGATATGGTTTATTTGTAATACTACTAGTAGGAGAAACACCCTTTATTCCAACTGGAATGTNGATATCATGGTTCTGATTACTATTTGGAACAAATACATTACTGTCAGCTAATGCTAATTGCTCAACAGTTTTTTTATTGTGAGTTCCATTTTGATCTTCAGCTGGGTTTTCTTGTCCCGTTTGTTTATTATATCGATTCAACAAAGATTTAGGATATTTAGATAGTCTATTAAGAATACTATCAGGTTGAGGTTTATTTTGTAGATTGTCAATACTCGGATCAATATGGCTTACTACTTTATCATTTCCATCTGTTTTTTGTGTTCCTGTTGGATTATTGATATTTATCTGATTTTGAAAACCAGCACCGCTTACAGAGTTTATTTCTAACGGTTTATTCGTCGATTCATCAATAAGAGGAGGTTTATACATTTGTTGGGCTTCATTATATTTTTGGTTTTCAAATGACTGATGTGGGTCATTTGTAATACCACTAGTGGAAGAATCACTCTTTATTCCAACTGGAATGTTATCACTATCTAGTTGTACATTTTTTTGTTTATTATCGTCATCAGATTTTGCATAGGCCAATGAGTCATCGATATTTGCATAATTTCCATTTAAGGGCGGCTCACCAGACCCATCTATAGAGCTGGTTTGTAACTGCTTGTCAATAGATCCATCAGTATTGAGTGGTTTAGATACTTGTTGGGCTTGGTTATTCTCTTGGTTGTTATCTGACTGATATGGTTTATTTGTAATACTACTAGTAGGAGAAACACCCTTTATTCCAACTAGAATGTTATTATTATCTAGTTGTACATTTTTTTGTTTATTATCGTCATCAGATTTTGAAAGTACGGCTAATGAGTCATCGATATTTGCATCATTTCCATTTAAAGGATGCTCACCAGACCCATCTATAGAGCTGGTTTGTAACTGCGTGTCAATAGATCCATCAGTATTGAGTGGTTTAGATACTGGTTGGGCTTGGTTATTCTCTTGGTTGTTATCTGACTGAAGTTGTTCATTTGAAACAACACTATTAGGTAAACTGTTAAAAGGTAAATCTTCTTGGTTAGTGATATCCTCGTTCTGATTACTATTTGGAGCAAATACATTACTGTCAGCTATGTGCTCAACAGTTTTTTCATTATGAGTTCCGTTTTGATCTTCAGCTGGGTTTTCTTGTCCCGTTTGTTTATTATTTCGATTCAACAAAGATTTAGGATATTTAGATAGTCTATTAAGAATACTATCAGGTTGAGGTTTATTTTGTAGATTGTCAATACTCGGATCAATATGGCTTACTACTTTATCATTTCCATCTGTTTTTTGTGTTCCTGTTGGATTATTGATATTTATCTGATTTTGAAAACCAGCACCGCTTACAGAGTTTATTTCTAACGGTTTATTCGTCGATTCATCAATAAGAGGAGGTTTATACATTTGTTGGGCTTCATTATGCTTTTGGTTTTCAAATGACTGATGTGGGTCATTTGTAATACCACTAGTGGAAGAATCACTCTTTATTCCAACTGGAATGTTATCACTATCTAGTTGTACAATTTTTTTATTATCGTCATTAGATTTTGAATAGGCCAATGAATCATCGATATTTGCATCATTTCCATTTAAGGGCGGCTCACCAGACACATCTATAGAGGTGGTTTGTAACTGCGTATCCATAGATCCATCAGTATTGAGNTATCAGGTTGAGGTTTATTTTGTAGATTGTCAATACTCGGATCAATATGGCTTACTACTTTATCATTTCCATCTGTTTTTTGTGTTCCTGTTGGATTATTGATATTTATCTGATTTTGAAAACCAGCACCGCTTACAGAGTTTATTTCTAACGGTTTATTCGTCGATTCATCAATAAGAGGAGGTTTATACATTTGTTGGGCTTCATTATATTTTTGGTTTTCAAATGACTGATGTGGGTCATTTGTAATACCACTAGTGGAAGAATCACTCTTTATTCCAACTGGAATGTTATCACTATCTAGTTGTACAATTTTTTTATTATCGTCATTAGATTTTGAATAGGCCAATGAATTATCGATATTTGCATCATTTCCATTTAAGGGCGGCTCACCAGACCCATCTATAGAGCTGATTTGTAACTGCGTGTCAATAGATCCATCAGTATTGAGTGGTTTAGGTACTTGTTGGGCTTGATTATTATTCTCTTGGGTTTTATCTGACTGATATGGTTTATTTGTAATACTACTAGTAGGAGAAACACCCTTTATTCCAACTGGAATGTTATTATTATCTAGTTGTACATTTTTTTGTTTATTATCGTCATCAGATTTTGAATAGGCCAATGAGTCATCGATATTTGCATAATTTCCATTTAAGGGTGGCTCACCAGACACATCTATAGAGGTGGTTTGTAACTGCGTGTCCATAGATCCATCAGTATTGAGTGGTTTAGGTACTTGTTGGGCTTGATTATTATTCTCTTGGGTTTTATCTGACTGATATGGTTTATTTGTAATACTACTAGTAGGAGAAACATCTTTTTGTTTAACTGGATTGTAACTATCATCAAAATTAAAACCATTATCATATAATCGTGAATTGCTTCTTGAATCAGATTGTGAATATGGATTGCTATAAGGAGTGACACTTTGAGTAATAAAAAGTATTATACAAAATAAATTTGGTGAGAATAACCGGAATGGCTTAATAGTTTTGATTATAAACCACATGTTTTTAATTTTGTACAAATATCACTTTCAAAAGGTTTATATAACATAAATGTGTGTTAAATTTGGTTCATTCTAGTAAATAAAATACCTATAATAAATTATAGTATTTTGACAATGGTGTTTCATTTACTTTGTGTTATACAAGTTGTGCTAGTACAATAGTATACCTACATTTTTTTTTTTATTTACAATTATAAATCAATTTATATTAATTTATTAAATTTGCAAATTACTTTTTTTTTATGATAAAATATGATGGAAAAACTTAATAGTAACATAAATCTGTATACAGATGTATGCCATACTAATTTATTAAAATTCGATTTTAAAAAGGGGCTGATACTGGGAATCAGTAATGTGACGAATACTTGTTTGAGAGGATCCTTTAAGATTTTTGAACGATTTGGAGTAAATTTCTAATTTATATTTGACACAATAATTGAATATGTATGTAGAAGATATTATAAATTATAATATAATCAACTGCTTATTTTTCTTCTTTTTTTAAATAATTTAAATACATTTTTTAATAAGAATCTGTTAAATCCATAAATTCCTTTAGCTATTCATCTTGTCAAATTGTATGCTCCTGATTTTTTGAATTCGATTCCTCCCGGAAGACTTCTTCCCAAAGAAATATTTATTATAACTAGAAATTCTTTATAATCATCTCGGGGTAGTTTTAAATTAATTGTATTTATTTATGTTGTAACATAATCGTAATATTACATCAATGTTGTCTATTAATTCATTTTTGACATCGTTGTGAGATATTAGAAAAATTAGTTTTATTCAAAGTATGCAATTGAATTTTAAATTGTTTTATCAATGAAATATTTAGTCCAGATATGGAGTTTACTAAATTAAAAAAATTGTCGAAAAAATTATTGGGAAAATTCAATTAATTTTAAAAACTGTGAGGAAATAATAGAGAAATTAAAGCAGATAATAATGCAAGAAGAAAGAAGCTAAATTTTTTGGAAGCAGGATATAGTTGTAATAAAGTATTATAATATAACATTGTACTCTAATAATACTATTATAGTATAGACAGTATAATCATATTATAGTACATAACATTAGATCAGAAGTGAGAAATTCGACTCTAGGACGAAGTTTTGCTGTCCACGGGTGTTTTTTTTTAGTCTTATATCATAATAATATTATGGTTGTGAATAGCCAATGCGTGTTTTTTTTGCGCTTGTGAGTAAAAATGGTGTGTAGTATTGGAATTAGTAGATTAGTACCTTCTTTCATCTTAAAGACTATTGAGACTCATAGCTGCAAAGAGCTACTTCCTTAAAATTGTCTATTTTTAGTTGACTTACCATAGTTCCTTCTTACTTTTGTTGGTTCATCTCTGATTTGCGGTCTTCACATTGGTCTCTTTCCCCCTTCGGGGGGAGGGGGGGATCCAGCTTAGTGTATCATTTGTGTTTGATTTAAAATTTATTACATGATCCAAACAACTCAGTATTTTGTACTGTGTTTATAAGATTAATATTTATTTAATAAACAATTTTTATTTTTTCTAAATCATTTAATGACTGTGGAATACACCCAACCACTATAATAGTAGTCAATTTATACGAATTATTGGTACATTAGATATTATTTGGTTGATTTCTTGTGAGGTTTTCAGAATTATACATTATCGACCAAAGTGACTACCTAGTGTGAAATCAAAAATCATAAAGCATCATGGTTCCGACTGCATTTGGTCACGATCCGTATCTAATTAACGGACATATTGTTTCTCTTGAAAAGGAGCCTGTCGACGTGCGGTCGCGTTGTGTACGCAAATCACGTCGATGAAAATACAATTTATAATACTCGACGTGATATGATATTAGGAAAGGTTATTGACAACCCCTAAGGAAAGGGGGTAAAAATATTTTACATAAAGTCACTTGCCTATTTTAGTTTTTTTCAACTTTTTTACTAGAAATTTTGCTCCGATTTACAATAATAGCATTTTTCCTAAAAGGAAATCTAACTGGGGAGAAACTTAAGGGGGTCAATTTTTGACTTTTTCAGGAGTTTTCCTAATAAATTAGAAAAATCGGGATAAACATAGGAAAACCGGGAGAATGGGAAAATATTAAACAAATATTATTCAAGAAAATGTTTAATGAATATGTAATTATTTTAATTATTTTTATATATACAAGGTTTGACCAATAAGTAATGAGACTGTTATTTTTGCCACGCTTGTGGTAACACTGCGAATCTGAAACTTCGGTTAATCTCTCATCCCTCTATCGATACATGTGCTCGCGATTTTCGTACAATAATTAGTTTTCCAGTTGTGTTATGTTTTCGACAACGTGTTTATAAGGCGTGTCACAAATATGGAACAACGTAATATAAATTTTGCGTTAAACTCGGCGATTCCGTTATGGAAACGTACGATAAATTGGTGAAAGTGTTCGGTGATGAAGTCCTGAGTCGTGCTCAGATGTTTCAATGGCATAAAAATTTTAAAAATGGTCGTGAAAGCATCGGGGATGAACCGCGAAGTGGGAGACCGGTTGAAGCTCAAACTGACAACAATGTTCAGCGTGTGCGCACTCTCGTGCATCAAGATCGGCGTTTAACCGTTCGAATGTTGGCTGATGAACTTAATTTGAAACGAGAAACCGTCAGAAAAATGTTAACTGATGATTTGTCCATGAAAAAGCTGTGTGCAAAGATGGTACATTCATCATGACAATGCTCCATGTCATCGTGCCTTCAGTGTGTCGCGATTTTTGACCTCTAAGAACATCGCAGTGTTNATCCAGAACGCCGTGACGAGGGTACTTCAGGACATTCCAGTCGAAGCCTTCCAGAAATGTTATGAGAGCTGGAAAAAACGTTGGAACCAGTGTATAGGGGGAGAAGGGGAGTACTTTGAAGGGGATCACATCGATGTATCTTAATATTTAAATATACGTATTTTATTGAATTAGTCTCATTACTTATTGGTTAGACCTCGTATATACATATACGAGGTATGGCTATTAAATAACGAGACTGATTATGAAAAAGTGTTTTATTATAAAAATTATTCTACATTCAAATGCTCCCCTTCAATATATTCCCCTCTCCTCGCCACACACTTTTCCATACTTTTTTTCCATTGATCAAAGCAGTGCTGGAAGTCTTCTTTGGTGAGGGCCTTTAGGAGCTCTGCCGTTTTTTGCTTTACCGCTTCCATCGACTCGAACCGTGTCCCTTTCAAAGCAGATTTTATCTTTGGAAACAAAAAAAAGTCGCACGGTGCCAAATTACTCGTTTTTTTCACTACCCATCTAGAGCGCCTTCTAGGCGAACAGTCTCGTTTTTTAATAGCCACACCTCGTACTGTTGGCAAAGCAACACTATTAATTGAACTCCGCTCAGAATCATTTTTTTCATTAGTAATGGTTAATTTTTGCTTACAGATATACATTAAATTCCCGTCTGTATCATACCTTTCCAACTTCCCACCTTCAAAAGTGGCTGAACTCTTTCCATTATCCTAGGACAACTTTTTGGTTAGTGCATTGAAGAGGTCATATTTTGATTCACCACAGGGTTTTTAAAATAAAGGTACATAATAAAAATAATTACAATCATCATACAATAATCATTACAAAAATAATGATTTCATTATTTCCAATTTTGTATTTCAGCTTAAATTTTATAAATATTCATAGAGACTCGAAATTTTGACATACGTTTGTCTTTTCTAGACGTAGATTTATATTATTTTTGAAATAAAATGTTGAATTTTTTTTTGTGGTTTTAATGTAATATTAAAATATTGATAAAAATCTTAAATATTACTGTTTTAGATAAACTTTGCTCAGAATCGTTTTTCATTTTTTATAGATATAAATTAAATACCCATACAAAAGAAAGTTGAAAAAGTAAGATATTACCTTCTAACTTCTGGTCTACAATAGTGGTATGCCACTGTATCAGCTCTTTTTGCAGTTCAAATTGTGACAAAAATGATTTTCATAATATTGAATTTCAAAAAAAACCATATTTATTATTATTATAATGAAAGAAATGTAAAATGTATATAGGCATCTTTTTTCTTACCAACAATGGAATTGTATGTTTTTTAATTTGACAACTAAAAAAAAAAGACTGTTCTTAACACATTTTAATCTCAGTACGGGTAGTTGAATTTGATTCCTTATTGAACAAAAATGTCGATAGTGCATATTAGACATAATCAAAACATGAATTCGACAAAAAGAGAAGATGTCTGGTTATTGCACAAAAACCATCAATTATTATAGCTTACTTTGTACAAATAATTGTTTATGTGTCGTTTGTCTGTCTCGCCGCGTGTGTAGGTAGATACTGTTATAGCAATCATTAAGATTACGCCTTTTCGAATGTCGATATCTCGTCTGCTGCAGAGGTCACTCGTTTAAATATAAGTAGGTAATTGTCCATCTCACGAGGCTAAATTCACTATCTGCAGGTTTTTCAAGAAAATAACTGCTCCCCTCCCTTTCATTACAGTTCAACAGATCTTGAAAATATCATTAAAGTAAAATCAGGACATTTTTTGTTATACCCATCAACAGAGCATCGATTATTTTAATCCCTTGCGCAATAAATAATTATTAAGCTAATAGTCTAAACTATCGTCCATTATTATTTCGTCTTGTAATCTATATAACATAATAACGTATCCTTTTATCTATGATGAGTATATTTTTCGTAAATATTTTTATACTGACTTGTTTAATATAATATACCTTCTTTTTGGTTTGTCCATTAGTCCTATGATAAACAATAAGTGTTACAAGGCTTCTCGAAAATGGCAATTTAAGTAGTTAATAATAAACTTATAGGTAAATATTAATAAACCTCATAAACTGTAGTTATTAGAGTCTTACTTAAATGCAATTTTGTAAAGTCTTTACGTTATTATACTTAATGGATAATTAGACATTATTTCAAGTATAAGTAACTCAAAATTAATTTTTTTTTAAATTCTAAGCACAGGTAGGACAGTTTTGATTTAATTATTATGTGTGCTTTTAATTTTTCTGTCTGTAAACAATTTTGATCGTTTATTGCATTATTATTAAACATTTGCTAAAATCCTCCATGGCACAAAACCGGTTTACATTTTTATCTATTTTAAATATAGAACGAGATATAACCAACAAATTTAATATAAATACTATGGTAAATAAATTTACAGAAAAGGACAGAAAAATGAAGTTAATTTAAGTAGGCTTTGTAATAAACATTTAATAGCTATGAACTATATATTTTATTGATTATATATTTATATCCTTATTCATATTTATTTAGGCAACTAGTCTGTAAGTAGTAAGTGACAAAATTTTACTTCAAAAGCAACTATTAACGATTATAGGTAAGAACTAAGCAATATAAATATAAATGTCAGTGTTGACAATCAATATTAGGGATGTGGGGGCTGATATTAAAATTTAGCCCATCCAGAAATAAACCTCTAGTTGCGCCTATAAATTCTCTTAACAAGTTTTTGGCAATCATTTCCACACAAAAAAAAATTAACTTTTTTTTTTTTAAAAACTTTGATTAATAATAATAAAATAAGTAAGTATCTATACATGAAACAAATTCAACAATGTCCAGGGTGCCGATCGCCTCTTTGCTCCTTCCCCACTTGTATACGCCCCTGCCATTCTGTTATATCAGCCAAGAGAGGCTAAATAGTTATTTTAGGCTAATTTTTTTGATTTTCTCAAGAGTTTTCACATCAATTGCGAAAAACCGAGAAAAAAAAACCTGAAGAAAATCGGGAAAATGTACGAAATATATTAGTATATTATTACAATTTTTTTTTTTTATGAACAACTTTTAATGCAACCAGCATTTGGCCCCAACTTTTAATAATAGCAATATTTCTAAAAGGACATTTGTCTGGGGAGGTACTTTAAAAAGGCCATTTTTCGATTTCCAGAGCTTTCTCAGTAAATGTGAAAAATCAGTTAAATACATGGGAAAATCGGTATTTACCGTATAATATTTGTTTACTAAAAATATTATTATAGATAATATAAAATGTTTATTTAATTATTTTACCATAATATGACAAACATATTGTTGTCAAAGCATCAATATCAACTGAACTCCGCTCAGAATTGGTTTTTCGTTATCAATGATTGATTGTTGCTAACAGATATTCATTAAATTACCTATAACAGTGACTGCACCCATCCCCATTATTTTAAGACGTCTTTTTCAGTTAATTCTTTTAACAGTTTTTAAAGTTTACATTTTTTCGAACTCTACTCAAACGCACAACTATATCTGAACGTACTCCGAGATCAGGTTCTTTTTTAAGCCAAAATATTATTGATTTTGTTGACCACTGCAAATTTCAAAATAAGATGAAAAACCAGAAACCAGAAACCAGAAACTTAACATAATGCTCAAATTGTATAGCCCCATTTATGGGCTTTATTAGAGAGCTATACCTTGAGAGCAATGAGAGAACTTTTTGCCTTAGCACTACATAACTGTTCAACAACAGATGTATTCTATAGGGATTGTTAAACATTTTTATTTTGACGTTTTTAAAACTGTCTTATTTTATAATAGTTTGTCTTCATGAGGTCCTATAGTATTTATTAGTGAATTCTCATTAAAACATTATATACTCTATACTTATTTTATTTTATGTTTTTAAATTATTTAAATTTTATTTTTGCGAATATTTAGCAGATTTTTTGTAAATTAGTAAGATTTTTCAAATTACTTTTGTATGAAATTGTTTGTTTTGTAAAAAACATGTTAAATATGGAATAATATGCACATTTTTTTCCAATCATTTTAAATAAACTAGATATAAAACACCAAGCAGTTTACAAGGCAATAAAATAAATAAAATTGACCAACGGTCTATTTACACACAACAGTGATGGAACAGTGCCGTGACCGTTCAAGGATTCTTTCGGCGAGTTAAAAAATATTCTAACAGCCGAATCAGAGACACCGGAAAAATTTCCGACCGTTACTTTACATCTTTTCCACCAGCTCACTGCGAAGTAGCGCAAATAGAAGAGGGGAGATTCAGCTTTGAAATTTGTTTATTAAAATTTAATACTGGAGAACAAAAATCAGAAAAAAACAAATAACAGGATAATCTGGTTATATTTTCATTAACATTTAAAACTAAAGGTATTTGGGATATGTAATGTTTTCTTATTGTTAGAAAAGTAGAAATATGTTTTGATTACTACAAGTTCAAATATCATACAAAAATATCGTACATTGACATATAACTGTAGACCTGTAGTCTGCAATAAATTGAGATAATATTATTCAGTAGTACGTCACGATATTTTATTACCTTTCTTCAGCTGTCTTTCTCGTTTTAAAATAATAGTACCTATCAAATTTAATATGTTTTATTGTGATCATTTAACGATTTACCTTGACACAACTTAATCAGATTCATTAAATAGGTTTTGTCGAGTTTAGTTCTGTAAAACACGATTTACGCTCACGATTTAGATGTACCAACGCGATTGTGGAATATGATAAAAATCGCCCCAGACAAATTTGCGATCGCTATCGCATAAACTGTACAGGTAATTGTGGGTGTTGTAGGGTATCGATGCTTATTAGATATAGTAGGTACTTAGATGATCATATCATTTCCGAGACCTAATATAGATATTGTAGTAAATCGATATTGTTGCATTAAACATTGTATTATAGAATAATTATGTAAAGTTTTTTTTTTTAATTGCGGTAAGTATTATAATTAATAAGTATTTAAAATACTCATGTATCACACAATTAACGTTTCCAGTAGTTTAGTTAACACTCCACGTGGTTTCATTGCATACTCAACAATATTGTTGTAGCAAATATTTACCTACAGTGTTTGGCCACTTTTGCGTTTAATGTCTCAATTATCGATCATCCTTATCTTTGATTATTACGTATCTGGTAGCTAATTTTAGTATATTTTTTCTTAAATACGTATTTTATCCGTATCTTTATCTAGATTAATTTTTATTAATAGTGTTTTAACACTAATTAGTACATCAGAATCCGTGTTACTTAGTATATATGATAGCGTAAACACAAAATAAAAGGCGAAAAGTACTTAACTAATATGCAGTATAGAACCCCTCTTGTCCGCCCTTGGTTGATCCGCCAATTCAGTTTACAATAATTTCCAAATGATTAAGTAGTAACACTGTATTTACATTCCTTTCTGGTCTTCAATATTTTATATTGACGTAATACGTATTGGCCTCTCTATATTACTCTATATTTTAATCACGATTAAAGATATACAGGTTGGGAATCAAGCTGTAATAAAGTGAAGCACAAACTTTCTTTATTTATTATTACTAAGAAATCATTAATCGGATATGAATGTATGACACAATAACAATTTTAGAATAATATATTTTACAAATTAACTATTTTGAA